GGCCAAATAAAATGCCCTTCATTCAAGTGCTTGTCAGGGGCAAACTATATGCCTCAGGGACACCGGTGGCTGACTGTGGCTTACCCGTAGATACATCTGGGCCTGGGACTGGTTGAGGGGTGGGGAGGTGGTGTTTCCCAGTAGCACAGATTGGGTCAAGGTGGTAGCACTAGGAGAGCTCACACTCTGGGAACGGCTGATGAGCTGGGCAGGTGAGGTGGTGGCCAGATTAATCTGTGTGGTACAGAAATGAACCATGACTAAGGATTTGGGAGAAATAAAGGAAATGTACTTGCTCCCTTACTGACAAAATCAGAGTGGCACAGTCAAGGGTCAAGAACAGAGTATCTCACTTTCACAGAGACATGGGTAAATGATTAATAACTTCCTGTCCATATCTGTCATCGTGGCTACTTTGAGGAATTACCAAAGCATAAAATCAATCTGTAACCACCAGCATAACAGATGAGAAAGAAAAGGAATGAAAATAGAAGAGACTCTGCCTTTCAATGAAGGCTCCAGAGATTAGCACTTTTCCTTTGTTAGCTCCCTTTCATCCTCAGGATCCCCTTCCTCTGTTCTGAGACCCCACTAAAACTAAAGTTGGCTACTTTTTTCTCTACCTAAGAAAATATGTAACTATCCACTGATGGCCCAATAAACACCCTCACATGAGCTGCATGAAACAGTTTAACCCAAGTACAAAGATGCAGAGAGAGAAGCCTCTCAGTGGGACAGGCAGTACTCACGGAGGCCTGGGTAGTGGTAGACTGCTGCTGTGTAGTGCTGGTATTTGGAGAGCTGGCCTGCCGACTAGCAGCAATGGTGGCCTGTTAAACAAGCAAGCACAGAGAGAGTAAAGAGAAAGGTTCCAAGTCTTCAAGTAATAAATCACAGGCAAAAAAACAAAGAATTCAGGTAAAAACAGAGACTCTACTCTGGCATAAGGAAAAATCTATCCAGTACCCAAATGACCCTCATATTACCATATACACAAACCTAACAGCCCCTACATAACCCTCCTGGGGCGGGCTGGTAACCTGTCCTCCCACTCCCACCTTCTTTTAGGTGGGGTAAGAACCTTTGGTTGGATCACATGAAGAACCACTGATAAGTCTAGCCCAGAGAGCCAATAGTAATATAATGCAAGCCACATATGTAATTTGCTCAAATGCATTTTAAAGTAAAAGAAACAAGTGACATTAACTTTAATAATTTATTAAAACCAATATATCTAATATATCATTTCAACAGGTAATCCATATAAAAAAAATTACTGAGATTTTTACATTTTAATGTTTTGTATGAAGTCTCTGAAAGCAAAAATCTTACAGCACATCTCAGTTTGGACAACCTACATCTCAAACACTCAACAGCTGCATGTGGCTAGTGGCTACCATAGTGGACAGCGCAGGTCTAAAACAGCTTTCCACCTCCAAAAGGTGGTTTTCCCATGGTTCTGACTACAACTCTAGAAGCTAAGGTCCATCCATCCTCCTACAGGAAAACAAGAGGCAGAGAGACTCTGATCCCAGCCTGGCTTATTGTAGGACGTAGTATCCCCAGTGGCTCCCCTACCCACCTGTAATACCTATCCCCTCTCACTCAGGCCAGCTGGTTGCTGACATCTCACCTGCTGGACTGCAGCCAAACTATGCAGTTGGGCATTGCTGAGCTGCTGCTGGAGCATGAACTGGTGAAAATACTGAGCTGCATTGGGCTGTCTCTGTAGTGCTTGCAGAGCCTAGGAGGAGAAAGAGAGGATCAGACCACTTCAGATGGATCACTCTTAACTCTATGGGAATCACTGTGATCCCCTATGGAAGGGAACAAGGGAAAGCAGAGAAACCAAGGGAGATGGGAGACTGGGCTACATCATCAACATCTAATTTGTCCATTTTTATATTAGAACCAGTTAGTTCACATAGTGTTCCAAAAACTAGGAAAGCAATCAGTTCTCTATGGTCTATTCTGATACACAGAGAAAAGTAAAGCAGTACAACTCACATGAACCCTCACTTCCCAAAATGGGGTCTGGAAAGACATGATACAACAAGGGAAAGAATTGGGACTAGACAAACTAAAAATATAAAGGACGTTGATTAATGTAAAGAAGAAAATAAGACCATATTCTAGGACTATAGAAAAAGTGATAGAGCCCTAAGAGTTTTAGAAATAATGAAAAACAGAGGAAATCATGGCTTTGAAATATTCTGTCAGGTAAAATTCTGTTAACTGGCATTTTCAAGTATCTACAGTATCAAGTTAACTGCTGTTTATAAAGATAACTGGTAAATGAGTTTTAGTGATAACTGATTTTACTGAATTCATATTCTTTAATATTTAGAACTGTTCTTATAATGAGCCTGCTTATTCTAGCTACTAAAATATTTTGTTACATAAAAAGCCCCATTGCCAAACAGAATTAAAAACCTAGCATTAACTACTAATCTGAAATATGAAAAGCGGTGCATCATATTTCCATTACTCAGGGTGATTTATAAGAAAGGCCAAAGATGAGAAAGTCTGACAAAATCAATGCAGAGAAATGATTAGCATTTCAGTCTAGTTAGCTAGACTGAATGGTATAAGAAACTTCACTTGAAAGACTGAACCTCATTCTATTTGTTCACCCAAACCTTTGTAAACTCAGTTTCTCAGAGCTGGAAGGGACCTTATCAAACCAAACCCACTTCCATGGAGTAGATGCCAATTCACAATGACCCTATAGGACTGAACAGAACTGCCCCCATAGGGTTTCCAAGGCTATAAATCTTTACGGAAGCAGACTGCCTCATCTTTCCCTAAAGAACAGCTAGTGGGTTCGAATTGCCAACCTTTTGGTTCGCATCTCTACACCAGAGATCCTCAGAAGGGATCTTAGTAATCACCTAATCCAACGCCCTACCTACCCATTTTGCTGGAAAGGAACCAAGGACAATTATCTTTCAGCATCCTTGCTTATCCCATGCCAATACTCACAGATCACAGTCCCTAGAAGTTCAGCTTACCTGCACTGCTTGACGTTCATATAGTGACATCTGAGCTATCTGGGGGCGAGAGCTGCCCCCTGAGCTGGAACTCCCATTGGTGGAATTGGAGTTCTGCTCACTTTCAGTCTCCATGATGGTGGTCCAGGGTCCCCAAGGCTGGTACTCTGATTCAAGACCTAGACAGAAGCAGCAAAGGGTGAAAATTTACACCTTGATCCCAAACTGTTATTTCACATCGTTATTCAAGACCACAACAAGACTACAATGTATGTAAGAATACTCCTCTTAAGATTTATGATTTTTCTGATCTTAGAATTCCCAAACCTGCAAAGCACTCTTTCTTACAACCAAATCCCCATACCGTCTTCGGAAGTTATGCAGTGTCTAAAAACAACCACCTTTACATATCCCCTCCCCCTCATGGTTGTTATTAAATAAAATGGCCAGAAAGCAAGACAGTATTTCACAGTACTTAAGGCCACCTTACATTCCCATATAACTTTTTAACACTAAAACTCTCCCAATTTAAACACAGCCCATCACCCACCACTTACTGAGAAGCCATTAGGTCATACCACTAGGCTAAGCTGTTTACCTGCATTCTCTCTCACAATGCTGTAAAGTTAAGTATTATTATCCCCAGTTTACAACTGTGAAATTTGAGGTTTTCTGAGCTTTAAGAAATTGCTCATACAACTAATAAATATCACAGCCTTTACACTAGCATATTCTTCTCAAACAAATAAATAAAATCTGTGATTAGTCATTGAGTATCTTCAATTTAGGAAAGGCCTTAAAACACAGGTATGTTAAACAGATTGTAAAAAGTCAAAAAACTAGGAGGTAGAAGAGCTAGCCTAAACTCATATAGCCTAAATAGAGCTGCCTGGTTCCACTTCAGTTTACTAGCAACACCTCAGGCATGCCTTTGCCTCCTTATATCTCAGTTTCCCCATTTGCAAAGACTTCAAAGCTGATATTTATCATACCAATTAAATATTACAATTAAATGATATAATATCATTTCATCAAATGACTCCCAGACAAAAAAAAAAAATTAAATATATAACAATGAAAATCTTCAAAAAAGTCAGAGTCAACTTTTTAGTCTACTAAAGGAGTCAGAATTTATCTTCCAGGGACTACATTAAAATTTGCAAAGACAGATATGAAAATATTATTAAGAACCAGGCAAAGAGACAGGACCAGAGAAGCAAAAAGAAATATACCTCCAAAGAAGCACTAAATGACAGTAAGTTTTTTTGTTCAGTCTTTTTTTTTCCCTCTCTCTCTTTCGTTAAACCTACAAACTATATTCTCTACTGAGCACTGGGCCACTAGAAATATCAGTTCAGCAAAGCACTGCTTAGTTTAGGTATGTAAATATCAAACCAGAATCTCTGCTAAACGCTGCAACAGTTTTATTGGGGTGAATAAATTCTCACAGAAATGCATCAAAAACAAGTAAATAAAATCAAACCACTTAGACTTGACAGTGAAATTGAGATCTCTTATTCCAGTCACAGTATCATCTGATCACATTATCCCCCAAGAATTCTACCCATCTCTTCAGTTTCATTTAGGAATAACGAGTGTCATACAAACATCGAGATAACTCAACATGTACATAAAGACATATCATCTTTAACTCTAGTCTATCTTCTGCCCACATCTTTTGCCCAAATATCAAAGCACTAAACAGATACAGACCCATGAATCCTCATTATCAGCATGTGAAAAAAAAAAAAAAGTGGGTAAGGATTAGAGGCAGCACAGAATAGTTGTAAAGATCACTGGACTTAGTTCCCTGGGCTGAGAGACGTTATGACTCCTTTACCCACAGCCCTTTACTAACTCTAGAGGGGCAATTAAACATTACATTTTTGTGAAATGCCCATAAACTGGATGAGTTCTTATCTTCCAAAGAAAGGAAGTTTTCTTTCTTTTTTCAGATTGTGACATGGAAATAAGATGGAAAGGGACTAGCGGTAAAGTCTCTCAAATCAGGGGGACCTGTCATTAAAACCAAGATTCCTGGGTCCTGTTGTTAGGTGTTGTGGAGTCAGTTCTGACTCAAAGTGACCCTATGTACAACAGAATAAAACACTGCCCAATCCTGTGCCAGCCTCACAACTGTAAACACAGAATGTCTATTCATTTGTACTAATGTTGGGACCATAAAACTAAATACATAAAATGAAGACAACAAAAAGTGTGGGAGACACAGTAAATTGGTATTTTCAGAATTAAACTGGGAGAGTGAGTGATCCATAGAAGTCCCCAGGGTGACTAAGCCATGGTCATATTTGGTGTGTATAGATTGGATTGGGTAAGGAGCATAGACTTACTGAAGAAAGCTAGAGAAGATTATTGAAGGGGACCTGGTATTGGGCCTATTGAGTCAAGAGGTAGACAAAATCCATGTTTATAAAACTGTCTTTGCAGATGGGATAAGGAATCGGGGGTGGCGGGTCGCGGAGAAGATTGTGCCAAAGAAATGGAAGTAATCTGAAAAAAGGGGGGCAGTAATCGCCTAGGAGTCCTCTATAGAAACCTTGAAGAAAATGAGGTAATAAAGAAGAATTAAATACACACTGGAGGAAAAGGCAGATACGTTAGTGTGCGCGGAGTGAACTGACCCCAAAGAGCAAAGAATTGTGCATACTGATAGCAGGAGACAGGCAGGAGAGAGACGGACAGCAGTCAAGGAATTGGCGGCTGAGAACCCAGCGGACCATGAAAAGCAGGGAAATAACTAGACAGCATGCTCGGATGGGAGAATCAAAGTCAGAGAAGGAAAAATGAATGAGGAGATGGGCAGTAAGAGGCAACTAAGGTGACGGACAGACAGCATTAAGCACAGCGAAATGAATACCCAAAGGACTTGGACAGGCAGACCCGAAGGACGGCAGAAGCTAAGCGTTAGAGGTAGGCAGGGAAAGAAACTGGGGGAGGTACCTGGGGCGTTACACAGACCGAGGTGGCTGAAGAAACATCCCCGCGCAGCCAAGCCCCCAGAGGTCCTGCCTCTACCCAGCCCGCGGTCGCCCGGTTACCTTCGCTCCAGGTTCGGCACCCAAGTCCTCCCAGGGGGCGTTCACTTCAAGTGCCGGGGGTCCCCAGTCGCCAGGCTGGGCGGGGGGCTTGCTCGGCCTCTGCGGCGGGCTCCCCTCGCCTCCTCCAGTTCCTGGAGGGGCGGGGGCGCCGAGGGCGGGGTGGGAGGTGCCCGGCGCGGCAGCGGCTCCCCGCCCCTCCCGCCGCTCCGGGTGCGGGCCCGGCCGCGGCTCTGCCAAGCCTCCGGGGCTCGCTTCGGGCCTGTCACTTCCTGCCGGGCCGGGAGGGTGGGGGCTGCAGGCCGGGGGCTGCGGGCCGGGCTGGAGGAGGGGGGCTGGTGGGGAGGTGCTTCCGGGGCAGCCAGACCCCTCCTCCGTCCCTCCCCCTCCCCTCGGCGCCCTCCTCCCCCTCCCTCTCGCGCGTCCCGTGTTTCCTGCCGGAGCCCGTTGCCATAGCGACGCCGCTCCCGGGCCTCTGCGTTCTAGGCCCCGGGGTTTTTTTTTTTCCTCTCTCGCTTTCTCTTTCTCCTCTTTTTTTCCCTTCTTTTTCTCCGAGTTCGGCTTGTTGGTAGGAGGGACGGAGCTGAGATGGTGCTGGCCTCTAGCGGGGAACTCACCTCCTCCAGAGAAGAAGAGGGAGATGGGAGAAGGGAGGGAAGTGACGTGAAAAGGGGAAAATATTTTCTGGAGCTTCTGGGACTGAGGGATAGAAAGAAAGGATCAAAGGGACCAACAAGCAAAAAGAGAGAAAGGAAAGTAACGACCCTAAAGAAACGACGGACTAGGAAAGAAAATAAGCACAGGAAAAGACAGAAAACCAAAGAGCTCTGGAAAGAACAACATTGAAGAAAAGAACAGAGAATATTGATTGTTTAATTTTTCTTTTTTCTTTTCTCATCTCAACTCTGAGAAGGCGGGAAAGGATGCTGCACAGAAACAGTGAACCCATCAAGACATGACACTCCTTTGAAAGCAGCATTCTAATATAACTTCTTTGAATAATACTTATTATATAGGTCTATAATGTCAGGGATGTTCATGTGTTTTTAAATTGAAATACGTATGTAAATGAAAGGGCGACAAAAAAACGAGGGAAAAGGCAGGGGCTTAAAGATATGTAGAACAAAGGGGCTATATTTGAGAACACTGAACATTAGGTGAGGGAGTAGCCCTTGATTTTATGTATCCACTTTCTCAGCTTTTAATCATTCTTTCAGTCATTGAACATTCAGCAAATTTTATAGAGCACCTACTATGTGCCAGACACTGGGGAGTTTGGGTTACATCAGTGAACAAAACAAAAATGTTTTGTGGATTAATAACTAAGGTTGATGCTTCTTTTTTTCTGTTGCTATCATAGTCCAGTGACTATTTTTACTTCATGTCTTTGTCCTAGCCAGGTATTTTTTCTTTCAACCCATTCTTCATGCTCTCCCTTAAAAGTAAATGCATGATTGTTTTCAGGGAAAAAGTAGAAGGGTTCACTTTATAATTTAGATCTGTCTAGGTTTACATTAAGAGAGGAGTGTTCGGGCTCCAGGCTCTTAATCTGTGGTAGCCAGATTTATGTCAGAGGAAAATCTCTGCCAGGCTTCCAAGAACCAGTCAGACAGGTATGTGAGAGAAGAAATAAGAGGGCAGCCAAAGGACTGGAAGAGCCAAGATAAAGGGTGTAGGAAGGTGAGAGGGTATGTTGCCAGGCCATGGGATGACAGGTTTTGGCTGAGGATGAATTGAAAAGATTCTGGCAGGAATAACTAATGGTAAAAACTAGGTAAAGCCTTAGAGGGTGTGTGGATGTGGGAATGTGGGTGTGGGTGTGTGTTGTGGGCCACCGGGTTAATTCCTACTAATATTGTTATGTGCCGTGGAGTGGGACCTAACTCATAGCGACCCCTCCTTGGGTTTCCAAGGCAGTATCATTACGGAAGTAGATTGCACCATTTTCCTTCCGAGGAGTGGCTGGTGGGTTTGAACTGCCAGCCTTCTGGTTAGCAGTCAAGTGCCGTAGCCACTATGCTACCAGAGCTCCCATTCCTACTAACAGCAAATGTATAAGACAGAGGAACTGCCCCATAGAGTTTGCTAAGCTGAAGTCTTTATGGGAACAAATTGCCAGATCTTTTCCTCCTCAGAGCTGAGAGTGAGTTCAAACCACCAACCTTTTGGTTAGCAGCTGATTGCTTAAGTATTGCACCACCAAGGCTCTTTAAAGTATTCGTAATTTAATTCAAGGAGCTCTGGTGGCGTAGTGCCCAAGGTATTTGACTGCTAACCAGAAGGCTGGTGGTTCAAACCCACTAACCACTCCTCGGAAGATTGGGCAGTCTACTTCCGTAGTGGTACTGCCTTGGAAACCCAAGGAGAGGTCGCTATGAGTCAGATCTGACTCAATGGCAGTGGGTTTAATTTAATTCAAACCTAGATTCTTGGTGTGTCAAAGAAGTTTAAAGCTTTTTCAGGTAGGCTTAGAAATGGATATATTGCACCTAAACTAATACCAATGAAAGCTATCTACAGATAATTTTCAGATTATGTGACACTTGGCCAAGAAACATTACTCATGAGCTTCCATGGGAGAATTATCAGTTATGTGTCTAAAGAAGGCCAGTAATTTATCCTAAGGTTGGAGGATCCGGATGTCAGGATGTGTACTCACTTTCCAATAGCCTATGAAATACAGGTACCTGCAGGTTACATGGCCATTATCAGCCTCATTTGAAATAGAACAGATTCCCTACAACTGTATATAGTCATACACACTCCCCCTTTAAAGATTTCATATACTTCCTGGATCACTGGCCCCTACATCTGCTAAAAGTTCACATCTAGATGATATGAGGGAATAAGACAGTGATGTTGAGTAATTTTGTTGATTTTGTGACATAATGCCTAAGGCATTTGACTGCTAACCAGAAGGCTGGTGGTTCCAACCCACTAGCCACTCCTCCAAAAGAAGATTGGGCAATCTACTTCTGTAGAGATACCCCCTCAAAACCCAAGGAGGGGTCGCTATGAGTCGATTCAACTCGATGGCAGTGAGTTTGGTAGTTTTTGGTTTATGTGATATAAATCTATCCTGGGGGAAAAAAAGTCTATCACTAGAAAAATAATTAATAGATCATGCCATGTTGATAATGGGACAGTAATTTAATTTTCATATGTAATTTTTTCCAATTCCATTTATCTCCAAAGCAGACCTGTCTTCAGGGTCATAGGTCTAAGCAGTTCCCCAAATAAAAATTCTGCATAAAAAGGAAAAGTATCTTAAAGGGCGGAAAAAAAAGTAGGACATGTATCAACAGCAAAATGAAGTTGAAGTATTAGGAAAACAGTGCATCCATTTAAAAAGTAATTTTCATAGACAAAATCAGCTTCTGAACAGGCACTGAAGTGCTCAACTCGGTCTAAACCGAAGAAAACAATGTATGATCCCTTGAGAATCCTCAACTGACTTTTACTGCATTTTTTTCTAAACTTTCTTATTTCCATTTAATGATTCGGCTGGAACTAGTCTTTTCTTTTTCAAACCAAACAATTCTTCTGAATGGATGCTGGATTATTTCTTTCTTCTACATAACACTAAAAGCCATTAGCCTAAATATGTGAAAAGGAAATGCATTCAATGTAGTATGCAGAAATCCAGACCACTCCGGCTGCATACTTATCTAAATAAGGAAAGATCAGGATTAGAAAGGAAGTCAACTGGTTAGCAATGACTAAAGCAAATACTAGGTAGGCTAATATAATTTTGCAAATGAATTGAACTTTGTATAAGCATTTTTCAAGCTTCTCTAAACCCAGCATTGTGCAAATGAATTGTGAAGAAAAAGATGGCTCTTACTCTAGAGGTGTTAATATCACTAGAATGAATCTGTCTATAAGTAATCAAATAAGTACGCATGTATGGTCACATTTCTATGAAACGTGGACAAAATGAGGTAGGGAGAAACAGAAAGTATAACCTTTATTCTAACTACCATCAGTTGTGGATGTGAACCACCATACACAATGCACCCCCATCCCACCACAATTCTGTATGCCACTTAAAGGACTACTTGGGAGAAAATGAAATGGAGATTAAGAGGATTTATACAGTCTTCGATTTTCAAAGCAAGAAGGGATCTTTGAAATTATTCCAGCCTCTCAACATACAGTGGAGAAAACAGAAACCTAAAAAATAAATGGTGAAGAGGGACATTTCACAATCCCTGTCAAACAGAAGATGTTCAATAAATATTGTTGTTATGTGCTGTTGAGTCAGACACGACTCATAGCGACCCTTCCTTGGGTTTCTGAGGCAGTATCACTATGGAAGTAGGTTGTGCAACCTTCCTTCCCAGGAGTGGCTGGTGGGTTTGAACCACCAGCCTTCTGGTTAGCAGTCAAGTGCTTTAGGCACTACACTCCTAGAGCTCCTCAATAAATATT